GGATTTGATTAAAGGGGTGAACGCTTTTTCAGAACCTTCCACACTTTTCGGAATTATTGATACACGTAGTCGGTGCAAATAAATGCCGCAGACGAAGCAGACAATACACCACAGGCTTTTCGTGTAAGAGTTTTTCCATCTCCTAGACCAATTTGTGTTCTATAACACTATATATATATATATATATATATATATATATATATATATATATATATATATATATATATATATGTATGTATAGTACTGATACTATATGAAAATCTGTATGGAATTACCCGTGTCTCCTTTTAATGTGTATATTTTTTAACTAAACACACAATCTTAATAAATATGTACTAGAGGATTAACCCTTATGTATCCTTAGTTTTAACCTTAGGTTAAAGTACATCCATATCATGCTAAATCTTAATAAATACATCTAGAACATAACAGTTCAGGATACTAGGTATATAACCTTTATAAATATGTTTCTCTGGATATAGGAAATAATAATTTAATTCAAATCTCTCATGTTCTTAACTTAAATTTCTTGGTTAATCATACAAAACCTTATGTTAATCTACATTTAATTTTTATTTTAAATTTTTTCGCCAATTTTCAAAAGCTTTTTAAAATTGTTCGGAACCTAAAACGTTTTTTAATATTATTTACAGAATTTGTTGAATGAAATACAAGGCATGAGCCCAATTTAACCTTTCTGTAGTTCGAATTACATTCATATCCTGTTAGATATTAATAAATACGTCTAAGATATAAAAGTTCAAGACTCTAGGTATATAACCATTATAAATATGTTTCTCTAAATATAATTATTAAATATTTAATCCAAATTTCTTGGGTATTTTGATTTAAATTTCTTGGTTGATTATGTAAAAAGCTTATGAAAATTTTTTGCTAATTCGAATTTAAAAAAAATCTCTTTTAATATTATTTACAAAAAAAATGTTGAATGAAATATATCAACATTGAAATTTGGCCATTCACAGAAACAGACGGGATTGTTTCAGATTCAAACTAAACTAACTACACTTTAAACCTTTCCTCCATCATAAAATGATATAGTGAGGTCAGTATGTCAAAATAGATCAATACTAACTGCCTTTTCCCACTCTCTAAATAAAATAGCAATATCTCTCGATTTTCATCCCGAATATTTTTTACCATTTCATTTCTGATTGGTATGTAGATTTTGAAGATTGAGAGCTGCTATTTTTTAGAGCTCTCATGAAATAAAAATGATTACCTATGGGATTTTAAGTGTTTGATATTCTTTAATTAATAATAATAACTATCTATCTATCTATCAAAATTTCTCAGTGTTAACCTGTAGAAAAGACAATATTTATAAATATAAATGACAGTTTTCCTATTGTCACTTATGTGTGTATGTATATATATATATATATATATATATATATATATATATATATATATATATATATATATATTTGTATAATCCTTAAACGTTACTTCTATCAAGCAGATATCCATATCTTAGTAGACACTTCGCTTATTCATTAAACAGTATCTTTATTTAAATTTCGCTTACCGGGTCGGAATAAATGACTATACTGTTTAATAATTAAGCGGAGCTTGTGTTCAAATATGGAGATCTAATAGAAACAACGTTTAAGTGATATATATATATATATATATATATATATATATATATATATATATATATATATATATATATATAAATTAGTATGTATGTATATGCGTATATGTATATAAATATATATGTATATATATATATACATATGCATATATATACATTAAGTTTAATGTATATTATTATTAATATATATATATATATATATATATAAATTAGTATGTATGTATACGTATATGTATATAAATATATATATATATATATATATATGCATATATATACATTAAGTTTAATGTATATTATTATTATATATATATATATATATATATAAATAAATATGTATGTATATGCGTATATGTATATAAATATATATGTATATATATATATATATATATATACATTAAGTTTAATGTATATTATTATTAATATATATATATATATATATATATACATACATATATATGTATATGCCTACATACATATATATATATATATATATATATATATATATATATATTATGTATATACATATATGTATATACATATATATATATATATATATGTATATATGTGTATATACATATATATGTATATGTGTATATACATACATGTCTATATAAGTATATACATTTATATGTGTATATAAACCTCTGTGTTTCATGCACAACGTAATCTTCAGGTACTCTATTAAGACTGACCGTTACATAAATCAAATTTTATATGCGTATAATTTAAATTATGTAACGTTCAATCTTACTCAGCACTTGACGATTGCGTTGTGCATGAAACTCAGAATTGTTCTACTGGTTGTTAAAAAATGTATATTTGTTATTAATATTTAATTTATACCGTGCATGATTATTGTGCGATATTACACTTTCATTCATGTGTGTGTGTGTGTATGTGTGATTGTTTGTGTGTGAGTGTGTGTATGTGTGTTTGTGTGTGATTGTATTTGTGTTATTCAAGTTGAAATAATAGACTCGTAAAAGGTGGTCAACTCATAAATTTCTTATTGGATGTGAAATTAAAAAAAAATTATTATCAAGGTCAAGTCTGAATTTCGTGATTTCTCACTCAATAGGACTTCAGATAAGAGTTACTGTATTAATTACAGCATGTATATTTTCTTATTTTTGGTAAAACATTGTTTCATATATGCATTTCAGTGAATTTTATATTTCGTTTTTATAGAAAGTCTATGAATCCTATTTTGCTGTTTGCATCGTCCTTGTTCTGCTCTTGTTGGGCGTCATGGTTGTCTATGCAATGTTTTTCGTCATACTCATGAAACACGCCTGTACATCGGCAAGTATACTTTTATCATTTTCATCTTACCCGAAATGTTATTCTTTCTTTTATCAGTGAAATATCTGTTAAGTGAATCAAGAGAAGACGGAAAGTGAGACACTGAAATATGCCTTACGAAAGCTAATTAAAATATTAATGAAAAAAATCTCTAAAAACAAAGAATCGTGTATAGAACCGTTACGTTAATATCAGTTCTCCTGTACAGCAACGAATGCTCGACATCCCCCCCCGATTAAGAAAAAATCCCATGCAACTGACATGTCGTTCTACTAAAGGATGTTGGCAGCAGCATGAGCAACAAGAAAGCAACGACGAAGTTTTAGACAAAAGTGAACCAAAAAGGGCATTTATGCTTAATATAAAAAAAGAGTTAAAATTTCTAGGGCACATAATGAAGAAAAAGTACTTAGAAAATTTGTTAGCCACAGGACACATTGAAGGCAAGAGTGACAGAGAAAACAACGTATGACCTACCTAGCGAGCTTCTATAAATATATGGCAGAGTAATATTTAGGAGAGATAACAAAAATACTAAATTTATTAAGCGCTAGAAAGGACAGGAGATGGTGGAGAGATAGGGCTGCCAACATCTTGAAGAGAAACGGCAGGAACGATAATATTCTAAAAAAATCAATAATTGTAATATGTAAAAATTCAGATATAAATAAAATATATCCGTAAAAAGACTATTAACAAATACAAAACGACGCCTTTTCTCTCTTCTTCTTCTTTTTATGTGCCATGTCTCTTTAGGACGTAGGCAATCAATGCCTCCACCTCCCTCTATCCCATGAAGCTCTCAACAAATTCCTTCCTTCTGCTTCTCCCCCCCAGACCACGTTCTGCCATCCACTTGCTTAAGCCCGCTAAGTATGTCACGCACTGTTTTCCTTTGTCTTCCTTTCCCCCTATTCAACCCATGAGTATCAGATTCTCCAGGCCCTCCTTCCTCATTATGTGTCCCAGAAACTTCAGCTGCCTCTTCCTGATATTAAGTATAATGCTCCTCCTTGTCTGCAACGTCTCTAAGACCTCATCGTTGCTCACAGGCTCGGTCCATGATATCCTTAGCATCCTTCTGTAGAATTCGTCGCCTCGAGTCTCTTCTTCATCTTTGAGGAAATGATCCATCATTCGCTGCCGTAAAGAAGGACATATGTCACGTAACAGCTCAGTATTCTTTCTTTGTTATCAAAGAAATCTTCCTGTCTCGAAATACTCTGTCCAGATTTTGGAATGTGTCCTTGACCATCCCAATAGGTATACGTATTTTCTGCCCTGACTGGCTTCATCAAATTAGGGGTAAGGATTTTATAAGTACATGTTGCACAATAAAATCTTTACGCTTACTTTGATAAATTCCCCCAAGAGACGGAACGCGTTGGTAAATAAAAGTTTTCCATTTGTCTTTATTCTAGAATTGTAATGTTCCATTGAATTAGATATGTAAATGAAAACTAAAACTCACAATGCTACCTGCCAGGAAAGAATTTATGTCAATAGAATTTTTATTAAATTACTTAAAAAAAAACCCCAAAAAACAATAAGATATTAATATGATACAAACCAATAACAGTCATAAGAACTTCACTCTCCACAACTTCCTGTTACTGAAAGCTCTTAGCAATGTTACTATATGTTATATAGACCAGATTTTTACCCTTGTGGTACACTTGAAATAGTTTTTATGTCCCTGGGAACCCCTGCATAAAAAATATTATATCGTCGTTCTTGGTGGAACTTGTTGCTGAATATTAATGTACTCAAGGATATTTCGTTCTGTGTGAAATGAGTCCTATGTTGGTTCTGAAGAGATATCAGCAGCCACCGCAAGGTACGGTAGGAAGATTCAGGGGATGGAGAGTTTGAAGAGATTTGTCTTTTTTTTTAGGGGGAGTGGGTCTCTCCGTCTTTTCTATTTGTCTTCTGGGGATTCCGAAAGACGGTTTTTCTTTGACTCCGCTATGATTTTAACCACCTTCCTTCTCGTTAATGTTTGTTATTTTAAAAAGTGACGCTTAGAATAGTAATAAAACCTAAGCAATGGCGAAAGGGAATTCATGCATAATTTTTTTGAGAATTTACAACAAAAATATTAAACACTTTTTATTTATTAGATTGTTTATTTGCTAAAACAGTTTTAAATGTTTACAACATTCTAAAAATGTAATACAATTAAAACTAATGCAATGCAATATTTATCATTTACCAATTTATAAAGAAATAAATATGAAAAAAAAAGTATTCATAAATTTATAAATATTTACTGTTATTACAATACTACCAGCATCGCCCGGCGTTGCCCGTGCTTGATTCAAAAATCGTACGACTCATACAGCAATCGCTATCACTTGACTTAAAATATTTTTGCCCTTCCTTGCCTTTAAAGGAGTGCCCTTTGCCGTGCTGATGTTGCTACAGGCTTTACTTCATGTCTATCTCACACTGTGAATATTTTCTAAGTTCTATACTAAACATTAAATCTGTTACGAAAAAAGAACTAAACAAAATGAACACAAAACAATCAGCTTTAAAAAAGGACTCGTAACTGGAAAAACCGAATGAAAAAAGAATGTTAACAACAAATACTTTTTTACACCCAACCCAGTTCTGCGGAATCAGAATCAACGTTGAGTTTAAGCAAGGGAATGAGCCAATTAGAGTAAAGTGCCATGCAGATTTAAATTTTTGCCACTTGTGACGAATGCAGCTATCGATTTTTTTGGCATGCTAGCATGCTATTTAACAATCGTGGCAGCCAGCTATAGGCTCTCACTCTGACCATTAGAAAATGGCCGCAAACTACATGAAAACTGCCGTAGAAGCATGAAAAATTGATTATTTCCACTATCGATGGAAGTTGGGAAATGCAATGTCGGTCTTGGCCTCCCCACTAACTTGGAGCATGTAAATTTTGGTGCAAATCCGTGGAAAATTGCGGCCGTGCATTCGTTACACACACACACACACACACACACACACACACACACACACACACACACACACACACACACACATCCTGCCTTTTATAGATAGAGATGTGAACCAACTATGAAGAGATCCTTATTATTTCCCATTTTATAAAGTTTGAATCACTTGATTATTATCCGATCTTTTGCCAACTATTCTAATAAACAATCTAATAAATCTAAAAAAATAAACAGCATTTATTATTTTTTGTTGTAAATTCTCCAAAAGCAAAGAAAATGTATAAATTTACTTTCATATGATTATGATTTATTATAATTCTAATCATACCATTTTAAAACAAGAAACATTGTCAAGAGAGTGATGGTAGTTAAAATAAGTGCAGTGACAAATTCGGTAACTGCACATTTGACAGTCCGTTTATTTAGCGGGTACGAAGGGACAAATTTGCCACAATTTTTATGTAAACTTCAGATGAAAAATATTTGCTTAACTTTGCAGGTATAATTGCCACTTATTACTTTTTCAGTTATCTGTTTTAATATTGATTTTTATCGTTAAGTCAGAAGTTTTTAACACGTACAATTGCAAATATAAATCAAGACAAATGAATTGCTTATTTATCTTGACAGCAAATATAGGCTAGAGGTAATTGAAACTAACTTATAACGTCGGTTAAAAGTCACAAATAGTTTTTTTTCTTGCTTATTTATTTTATCCAATTATTCGTTGAAATAGCACCCAAACCATAGTTTTGTTAGACGCAGTATTTTGTTTAGGGAATATTTTTCAAAAGAGGAATATACAGTACAGTTCCGGCCATTAGAACTGGTCAAAGATTATTTATTTATTTTTTTTTTCATTGATTATCGAGCTCTATTTAGATTATTCGGACTATTGTCCTCATCATTGTTGCCATATTTATCACAACGTTTAGGCCGTTGTTCACTCCGGCCTTCTTCAGGTGGTTGTAATGTCAAGGACACATGGCGTTAGTTAGATCTAGTGACAGGACCCAAAGTGTGTGAGTTTAATACTTGGTTAAGGCAGTGGTGAACTTGAAGAGGGGAATTAACAGGAGATACCTGATAACTGACATCCATTAGACATGGCATGTGGAACTAGAACAGTCTATCCCAGCGAGCGAAATAAGGGTTTCATTTTGACTTTCCAATCACTTGAAGAAAGCCGTGGCGTACAATGGCCGAAACGTTGTGATAGATATGGCAACAAAGATGAGGACAATAGTCCGAATAATATAAATAGTGTACATAATACCTCATATCAGAAATATAGACAGATTATCGAGCTGTTGCATGTTATTCAAAGCTAGGTATTATGTTTAGATTGTAAGAATTGAATGGAGAGAATAATAATTAATTAACCCATAGCTGGGGGAAAGAGGTGGATTAATACGTTTCCCAATGGTATTTGCAAGCAATATTTTGGATCCGAGTGGAATTAGGTCTCGGCTCTTCGATTTCCAATTTTGAGCAGTTGTCCATTATACAACCCACACATGTTTACAGTACTGAATATTCCCAAGCGGTCATCCATCGAGGTCGATAAGTCAAGGAAGTGATTACTTGATTGGTAATATTGTTCGGTAGAAACGATCCCACGGGTGGGGGCACTTAGGTAATGTCTGAAAATCATACCACTACCACAGACCGGCTCATGTATCGTGAGTGAAATTGGTTAGAAATTTATCTGAAACCGTCGACATTTGTTCTGGTTCGTAGCTACAAGTCTTCACCAAATGGCTAGAGAGAAGCTATTTAGCATTGTTTGACAGTCTATCTAGCGAATCAGACTCGATAGAAATAGTTACCCCAGCCTGCCATTGCAGCTACGCCACAAGCGGGTATGTAAATCCCTAAAATCTCAAGCGTTATGTTCTTTAAAAGAACGAGTTCACAATCTATTGCAGACTGAAATAGCACACGCTGTATTAGTTTTCAAATTTGTATGTTAAAACTGTATGAAAAAGTATTTGTTGCCTGGGTTAATTTCCTTTTGTTTTTACCGAATTTGATTTGCTGACTTTTTTGTATACCATTAGCTTTAGTAAAACAATTTAAAAGTTGAAATGATTATAAGAGAGATGTATAATTAGAATTTCCTCAATTTTCAATAATTTGGCCTATGCATTAAATTCCGTCTTAAAAATACAATGTGTTAGTAATTTAGCTTATTACAACAGCAAATATTAAATTACTCTTATGCCTATTGCGTGTTGCAATGCCCTTAGTTCACTGCAGAACCGGGAAGGGACAACTCAATACCGTCGACTCAATACCATCGACTCAACACCGCCGACTGAGCGCCTGGTCACCTTAGGATTGAGACAACTCAGTACCAGAAAAAACATAACCTTTTTTTCTAACCGAATAAAAGTAGTTTATTAAGGAATAAAAGAAAATAGACATTCTGAAACATTTTGATAAAAAATATTATAACAGTCAAAGTTGTGAATTATTGAAATTATTTACTTTATTAAAATACAAATTGCATTACGATTTACTTTATGAAAAATAATTAAAAACAATTAAAAGTTTCATTTTGTTTTGTATTTTTCGATTTACTCTATCAAAAGAATTATAATTAATTATGAATTATTTTTCAAATGTCAATTTACTTTATTGAAAAATAAATTTATTTGCAATGTACTTTAATAAAAACAATTAAAACCCCCAAAAAAAAACAAATAAAAAACAGCTTCATTTTGTTTTGTATTTTTCGATTTACACTATCAAAAGAATTATAATTAATTATGAATTACTTTCCATATGCCAATTTACTTTATAAAAAATAAATTTCTTTATAATGTACTATATTGAAAATAAATAAAAACAAACTGTTTCATATTTCATATTTAACGTAATGCTTTTTCAAATGCCTTATTTGAAAAAAAAATCACTAATTAAGGTTTTAATCCTTAATAAATTATTTTTATTCGGTTATAAAAATGTTATGTTTTTCTGGTGCAGAATTGTCTCGGTCCTGAGGTGTCTCAGTCCTGATCTGTCCCGGTGCATAGTCGGCGATGTTGTATTGGTGGTGCAATACAATATATAAATTTGTCATACTATATTTCATACTATATTACTTTTCTGTAAAGTCCTGGGATCGATTTGACACTGTTTCAATATTATGAAGAAGATATTACTTCTAAATCTGTATACATAAATATCGTTCGGTTCTGACCGAAATCATAGAATAAGGAATGTCTTAAAAAGATTGATTTGTTTTTTACGGTTTATCAACTTTATTTTGAAAGTTATTTAAAGTCCATAATTTTCCTTTTAGATTGTGACAATTTCTGGGTGATACTGATACAAATCCAACTAATTAATCAATAGATGGGGGTTCATAACTTTTCCAGTGTTATTTACGCGTAAGTGAATATAACGAACCCAATTGGAATTGAAACTCAGCACTCCGATTTCTCATTTCGAGCCGTTATCCATTACATTACCTGCACATTCATGCTTACAGCATCTGGTATTCAAAAGGCGGTGCAACAACTAGGGACAAGGAACTGTCCATGCGTCACGTTGCTTAAACACGGTAATATAACGAGAACCGATGTTATAACGTGATATGGTCGTAAGGCAGAAGGTTCAAAGAATGTTTAATTGCAGAATGTATGTAAAAAACAAGGCCCTACTTTTTAGGTGTCCTGGGTATGAGTATAAACTACATCCAGCAGCATGGACTCTAAGAGATTGGAGGTTTTGAGGAGTGTGGTACCACCTATTAATTGCTATTATTCCCAGGTTCGCATTGACCCGAGCCGCCCTGTTACGGTCCTAGCCGTGGGCAAATAGTGAAGTTGCAAACAAAAATACGTACATTTTTTTTTTCATAATAAAATGTGCAATTATACATTTTGATAGCAAAATGACAATCAGCGCAACACCAAATATATGTAGTATTGGTTTTTTATATATATATATATATATATATATATATATATATATATATATATATATATATGTATGTATAGTATAGTAAAAACCAACAATACATTTTATGATTTACAAACTATATATCTAAAAGAAACCTTTTCTCAAAGTATAATATTATGTACAAAATATATTCAGTTGAAGCCGTAAAATATCATTCAAAATATTTAGATTTTGGAATTAAATAACCCAAAGAAATTAATATATCGTTAAGCAAAATCAACAAATCAACAACAGACTTTTTATGAGTGGACCAGACAATTTAAGTTGTGCCTGAGAAGGCATATAAATTCATTTTTTTTTAATCATGGTGAAAAAGATCATTTTGATGACCAGAATAAGATGAGTGAAATATTCAAACAGAAACATAAATTTGTCATACTATAATCCAATTCTTATGAATTAATTGAAATTGGTACTCTGTTCCACGATCGTTAGTTGCTTTAAAATATAACGGAAACGAAACAGAAAGAAATACAAAGGAAAATTTAATGATAATTTATATCCAAATTCGAATGAGAAAATAGTGGATTTCTACGTCTGTTCAGTTTCCTATCTCTAAGAAATTTCATGAACCTCTTTTTATTTTTCTATTTTAGACCACGTGTGTAACATCGACTACAAGGACTACTACGACGACGATTGAAACTCCTCCACAGGTTCCGAAATGAAGACTATAAAAATGTATGAAAGTATAAAAGAAAAAAAAAAAAAGAATCAAATTCATATTCTTAAAAAAAAAATTGGACATTTCTTTTTTCATTTGTTTAGAGCGTGATACACATTATCTAAAACACATTTAAGTCGAAGATCATTTTATTCAATTCGTTTACTCCTTTTTGGCACTTTTATATATTTTATTAAAAAGAAAGAAAAAAAAGAAAACAACCGTGATAATATTGAATTGAATGCGTAAAGATAAAATTGTCAACCTCATCATTAAATACGATGATCAGCTTTTACTTCAAATACACTTTGGTTACATTCAAGTGAATAAAGATATTAAAATAGATAACTGCACTTTGCCTTTCATATCTGTTGCTTTTTGCCTTTCATATCAAGTTCTATTTTTACAGAAGAATGTATCTCTGCAAATCGTATGCCCTCTACTATATATACGCCCAAGCACGCTCCCCAATATATATATATATATATATATATATATATATATATATATATATAAATATAAGTATGAACCTAAAGAGCCAGGCAAACCTAACTAGGTTTTTTTACGCGGATCGTCAGGGTACGCCGGCGTACCCTGGCGATCCGCGTAGGTGAAATAGGTAGGTTTACCTGGCTCTTTAGGTTCATAGTTACATTTGCTCTTATTGAGCACTTTGCTTAGTTATTTTACTTTACTCTTGTTGGAGGTTTTTTTTCTTCTTTGGATTCTGGTCGATTGTTTTCGCCTGAATTACATGTTCTTAGTTCTTTCTTTTTTTATTCCTTATTTTTCCTTGGGTATTGGTTTGTTCATTTACAAGCCAAAATACCTAAGGTTTTTTTTTTCCAGACGAGTATACTTAGTTATATTTTTAATATTATACATATATTGTCATCCACAAACAGATTCTTTCGCTCTATCACAGCTCTTCAGTGTGGCTAGATGTCCGGTTGCCTCTAGCTCGAATCGAAACCCGTCTAAATTGGCGTCAGTCGGAGATTCTACCACTAAACCGTCGGCAGGGGCGAAGGTGAATTTTAGCGTATTTGTTTTTTAGATAAACACACAGTAACTGAGAGGACTCGATTCGCTTATGATAGCGTCTAGCATGAAACAGCCTCTGAGTGTTGGCTTCAATGTGCACTTTTATATTTACATACGCGCTATCTCTGATATTAAATATAACATACCTTAAAACTATATCTCTCTCTCTCTCTCTCTCTCTATATATATATATATATATATATATATATATATATGTATAGTTGGATTGATGTGTGTTTGTGACTCTGGGTTTCACGCTATTTGCGATCGTTAGACAAACTGATTAATTTTTAAATTTTGGATTTATATATGGTTTCGTATATCGGTGTTTTTATGGTAGTGGGAGTAAAAATTGTCGTCGGAACGCCACTCATACGTACGCAAACATACATACACGCACGTTCACTCATTGCATCTCACAAACATAAACATATATTAACAGTGTGGGACTGGGCGTATATGCGCATTCATATGTTGTTGCGTGCATACGTACGCAATTTGTTGCTGTATTCAATGTTGTATTGTGTATCGAACTTCATTCATAAGTCGCAGTGTCAACGCACAGACAGTTCGTCTATTTTTTAGCTGAATAATGTTTTCCCGCTCACACATATATACCTATTCACGCGCATTCACACGCCTTCTATTTGTCTGTTTTTTTTATCTTAAGATGGGGTCTGTGTAAACTATGTTAGATAAAATTGTTATTATTTTTACTTTTTTAATGCAGTTTTTAAAGCCGGTTATTTGCTTGTTTTTAGCGATTGCGCTTATGTAAATGGTAGAAATTCTAATTTATAATACTTATTGGTATTTATGCGATGGTATTAATTTTTCTTGGTGGGGAAAGGAAGTATAATTGTGGACTGAAGCGGTAATTGTAATTGTGATACGATAGTAACGGTGTGGGGAGTGGGTGATGATAACGGTTCTAGCAGCAAATGGTTATGGTAAAATGGTAGAAGTGATTGTAGTAATGGTGGTGAAATGGTAATAACTATAATTATTATAGTGGTAGTTTGAATTAGAACATAATTGATGTGTTATGGTTTCAGTGGTTTCCCTTTTAGTACACATAGCGTCAATGGTTGATTATGTAGCAGTGTTGGCTGGTATTTTTTATCCGTTTGTTATAAACTGTGATAAAAGGTATTTGTTTTAATGTCTGCATTTAGAAATTATTTCTGATTTTATGATTAGTAATTTCTTTTGTTGGGTGTGGGAAATTATTGCTACCGTTTCGTGTAGGCAAAGTAGGCATCATTTTTTGTTATGTTGTTGAAGGTAGGTGCGTTTTTCAATATTTTCCAGCTTATTCTTGGTGTAATATTTATGTCATTTAATTGTCATATATATGTGGATAGTGAAATGCTGTTTGAGTATTTTCTCTCGGAGAATGAGAGGCTGTGTTTCATTTTTCTTGTCTAAAAAATATTGATGATATAAATACTCCGAGGACTTGTCCTTTTAGTTAATATGAAAATTAAGCGATACAAAAAGATTTTTTTGAAATTTCATGAAATTAAAAAATGTGAAATATAATCTGACAAAGATTTTTTTTTTAAAGAAGAAGCTTTTGAAAAAAATAGTTTAATTCATTTCTGTATAATTCCTGAAAGTTACATAAAAATATGATTGTTATTTGATTTTTTGCAAGAGTTTATAAATCAATGTGTTTTTCAGGACAAAATAGACACTCGAATTTACCGTAAAAAAATATGGATGGGCGTAATACCAGAAAAGTAACATTTTATACCGAAACATTCAAGGTTCTGAAAAAGGATAAAAACAGTTGCATAAAAAAATCATTTGATCATTGCTCTTAAAAATAACACAAAGTTTTTAACGATAAAAAGTTGTTTTTTATTATTATTTTTTATGCTTTTTATTCATTGTGTACGCTTTTTAGCGAAGTCTTTTTTTAAAGACATCCGTAGACTGACTAGATATTATTGTGTCTTTAAGGCGTTGATATTTATGGCAGGGTAGAGGTGGGTGAGTTATTTTGTCATGCCATGATAAACCGGAACATAGACAGAGCATCATTGATAATTGCAGAAAATATGTAAGCGACAAATGTATCGTGATTGGAGACAAATATGACGTTCAATTTTTTGAAAGGGCGTTTAAGGGAGGGGTAGCATAATCAGGCGTAAAGTTAACTGAAAAAAAATAGATTTTTTTTTTTCACCCCAAGCTAGGCGGGAAGCCACTAGGACGCAAGGGGTTACAGAAATTGAAGCTTCTTAAAAGGGCCTGTACATTAAATAAAAAATGGGCAACATCTATATAAGATATTAATAATATTAACTGGACGGCAATACCTAGCAATATTAAATCTGAATAAACAAAATAAGGTAATTACCTATAGAGGGGGAACCATTAAATACTAATAAATTATGGCTATAAGAAATGGTATTATGTAATTTAAAAAGATAAGTATATTTTAAATTAAACTGCTATTTATTGTCCTCCAGTTACTATTATTAGAATTTTAGGGAAATCTATGACAGAATCTGAAGTCCTACAGGACAAAGCGCGTCACAGGAAAAACTTCACCCACTAAATCTTCCTTTATATATATATATATATATATATATATATATATATATATATATATATATATATATATATATATATATATATATACAATATACACACACACATATATATATCTACAACATATATATATATATATATATATATATATATATATATATATATATGCATATATGTACATATATATGTATGTATATGTTGTATTTAGGCAGCAATCACGCATTTATACATGTTTCATTAAAGACGACATGCTAGTAGAAAATACAAGCATAATAATCACATCCACATGTAAAAAAGATTAAATATAATGCAAGTCTTAATAACAATAAAGAAATAGCCAACACTCAATAATATTAACTCAGAATACGGCCAAAATGATCTTACTGTGTTCAGAAAATAAAACACCCATATAACTCTACATACACACAACACATACAGCCAGTTAAAAGCAAAAGTGAAATCATCCTTGATAATGGCTAAAAGAATAGTCGAAAACGCTTGGAATTACATGCTATTTGAATAGTTTCTACATGCTCTGCGCACAGTAAAGAAAACATTTTTTCGATCACAAGAAAAATGAAATAAAATGCTTAATCGCAGTTTTTTGTCTGTCGTCGTTAATGAAGACACACAGAAACAAACACACACACATACATATATTTTTGTGCAGTAATATAAATTGTTGTCAATGTTTATTAGCCATTATCGAGAATACATTTTTTTTTAAAATTTTTTGAATGGAAAAGGCAGATTTTTTTTTAGAATAAAGCGCTCAGTTATATTAAGCATTTGGACTGTTTTGTACAGACTCTATGTCCAGAAAAGAAAACACTCGTACGAATGCAAGAAATCTCCAGCCCTGAATAATCACTGAGTAGGGTACGTTGAAATATCTTCTCAAATGGTACGATGACAATTTCGGTGAGAATAAAAAGAAACGGAGAAATAAAAAGCTTCAGAAGTCATGTGTTGAAAATTGTATACATGTAAGATAAATGTATTTCCCATATCATGTCTGATACTCCTACTAAATATCTCGAGATTTTTGACAAAATCCAATGAAGAGTCTGTAATTCAATCGATCCTGACCAAGCATCACGACTCCAGCCACATTCTTACCTACATGACGTGCTTTCCAGCTGTCCGTTCAACAACTATTTTCATTGCAATTGATCACGTGAGCTTTCTTTCTTGGCGCTTTGGCTGCATGAATTTAAGCGTGCTTTTAGATTGGCAACTAGGTCTCCGCGTGTTACTTTTGACTTAGCAAGATGCAACTTTAAGTTCTATTCTAATCATTTGTGTTCCCGCACTTCTCACATGTGGAGCTTCTTTTACGTTTTCTTGCTTTTCTGTCACCTATAATCTATAAAATTTTAGTGTGACGCC